AATATGAAATGTTTAGTGTCTACCTGTGAAGATAAATCTTGAACTATATGAATACAATTACAAACATTTTTCACATAGATAAAATCAGATCTAAACAGCTGGAAAAATATAAATTGCTAATGGGTAGGCCAAGCCAATATAATAAAAATGATAATTGTACATAAATTAATTTATTTATTCAGTGCCATATCAATCAAACTACAAAAATTTATTTTATAATGCTAGAAAAAATAACAAAATTTATCTGGAAAAGCAAAAGGTAAAGAATATTAAGAACATCAATGAAAAAAAATGTGAAGGAAGGTACCATACCAGATCTCAAACTATATTATAAAGGGGTAATCATTAAAACAATCTGATACTGGCTAAGAAACAAGAGTGCTTTATCAGTGCAATAGCTTAGGTACCCAATACACAGCAGTAAAGGACCACAGTAGTCTAGTGTTTGATAAACCCAAAGATCCCAGCTTTTAGAACAAGAATTCACCATCTGACAAAAACTGCTGGGAAAACTGGAAAACAGTATGGCAAAAACTAGGTATAGACCAACTATATGTCACACACCATATACCAAGATAAGGTTAAAATAGGTACATGTGGTGATACCATAAGCAAATTAGAAAAGCAAAGAATAGTTTACCTCTCAAATCTATAGATAACAGAAGGATTTATGACCAAACAAGAGGTAGAGAGCATTACAAGATGTAAAATGGATAATTTTGATTTTATTAAAAAGTTTCTGCACAAAAAAACCAAAGTAACCAAGATTAGAAGGAAAACAGAAAGCTGGGGGGGAAAAAGGTTTTTTTGCAGGTGTCTCTGATAAAGGGTTCATTTCTCAAATATATAGAGAACTGAACCAAAATATAAGAATACAAGTCATTCCCCAATTGATAAATGCTCAAAGGATATGAAGTTTTCAGATTAAAAAAACCACAGCTATCAAGTCATATGAAAAAACGTTCCACATCACTACCGATTAAAGAAATGCTAATTAAAATACTCTGAGATACCACATCCCTATCAGATTGGCTAGTATGACAGAAAAGGAAAATGATAAATGTTGGAAGGGATGTGGGAAAATTGGTGGGACACCAATTCCCTGTTGGTGAAGTTGTGAACGGATCTAACCGTTCTGGATAACAATTTGGAATTATTCCCAAAGGGCAATCAAACTGTGTTTACCTTTTGATCCAACAATACCACTACTAGGTCTATAGTATCCCAAAGAGATTAAAAAAAAAAAGGAAAGGACCTATTTGTACAATAATATTTATAGCAGCTCTTTTTTATGGTGGCAAAGAATTGGAAATTGAGGGAATGTCCATCAATTGAATAATGGTTGAAAAAGCCGTAGTATATGATTGTAATGTAATACTATTCTGCTATAAGAAATGATGAACAGGCTGATTTCAGAAAGACTTACATTAACTGTTTTCAAAGTGAAGTTAGCAGCATAGGAGGATATTATACACAGTTATAGCAACATTATGTGATGATCAACTACGAATGATTTAGCTCTTCTAAGCAATAAAATTATCTAAGACAACTCCAAAGGACTCATGATGACAAATGCTATCCACACCAACAGAAAGAACCGAAAGAGTCTAAATAGAGATCAAAGCATACTATATTTCACTTTTGTCTGTTTCTTCTTTCACAGCATGATTAATACAGAAATATGTTTTGTATGACTGCACATGATATAGGTTGCTTACTATCTCAGGGAAGGGGGAGGAGAGGAGTGAGGGAGAGAATTTGGAACTCAAAATTTTAAAAAATAAATGTTAAAAAATTTGTTTTTACACATAATTGGGAAAAATAAAATATTATTAAAAAATTTTTAAAAGTACAAATGAGCATTTGCTTCAAATGAACTACATGATACCTTTAAGGTCCTCTTCTCTAATAAGATATCTCTCATGCATATATCAAAACCTTAAAAGATCACTTGAAAGATAATAATGGACATAACTTTGAACAAAGACTTTCTGATCTTTACTGTCAATCAAGGCAAAAAGCGTGGAGATGTCTTGCCCAAGATATTTGACACTACCATGAATATGTCTGCATACGGTGCAAATGAAAGAGATTTCCTTATAGATGGTAAGTAAGGTCTTATAGCTGCTGCTTGTGGATTGCATTATGTAGATTGCACCATGTACTAGAATATTACAGATACTCCTAAACAAGATACAACTACTGGCACCTAAGTATCTCCACTAGAAAAACCAATTAGATAAAGAATTCCTATTTTCTAGACTATGGTATTTATACACTTAGGCAAAACTCGAGTTGATTCTTCAGCAAATAATTCCTCGAACAGATATTTTGCATTGTTATAAAGATGACCCCAGACCCAGTTCTGAAGACTGGTGTCTCAAAGGCTTTTTATTAAAGAGGTTGAAGTGGGTCCTTTCAATTTTTGTGAGAAGTGGGCACACCTCTTTTGAAGGGGAGAGTGTGCAAGTGAAAGAAGCCAGAGCAAGCTTTATAGTTAGTAATTGCCTAACTCCTCCCTTCAGGATCAGGATTGGTCCTAATCCTTCTGGGTTACAATCTTCCTTATATGCCCCATCCTTAACATACATTATGTGCCTAGAATTGTGTTGTCACTTCCCCTCTCCCCCAACTCCACCCCTCACCCCCAGGGAGAAGTTAGCCTGTCTGTGCTGATTTCTTATCTACTTATGTGGAAACTTAACTCTTTCATTTCTCACAGCATGGCTAATGAGCTGGGCACAGAAATGAAAAGGAGGACAGTAGGCTGCATTGCTCTTAAAAGAATCACACTGCACTTGTAATAACAACAAGCTTCTTTTTCAGAGGCCCATGTTTTTAATGCCAATTTTGTTCTGATTACGCTGTTATCAGTGTAAGTTATATACTACCAGAATCTCCAAAAAATTAGGATTTCCAAAGCGCAACAGAGAAACATATAATAAATATGGAAAACTGTAACACATTACCAACCAACAAGAACTAAAAAAGACAATAGGCAAATTATGTGGCCAGAGCTGAAAGTTTCATTATTGGTATCAGTTAAATATAAAGAGAATTAGCAAAGTTCCTCAGCACTGAGTAGACTCCTGTGGAAAATTTAAGGGAGAACACAGATGAGAGGCTCACAAGCTCAGAGGATATGGAGGAGTCCCAAACTATATCACTGGGGGAAGCACCCACATCAGCAATACCACAGAGTCATCAATGTACTTCAGGTTTGCAAAGTTCATCAAATATATTAATTCATCTGATTCTTTAACTACCTTGCAAGGGAAAGGTACTACACATATACTATCTCCATTTTAGAGATGAAACTAACGCTCAAAAGTTATGTGATTTCCCCAGACTCACAGTCTACTTAACCCTGATTTTTTCCAACTCTGAATCTATTTCTCTTTCCACTATAGCACACTCCCATCTACCTAGCCCCTTGACTATCAACGGTAGAGAGGTCACAATCAGTGAAAAAAATAGCTACAGTGATGAAATCAGAGAGTCTGGAATTACTGAAGTGAGGGCGTAGAATTCAAGGAGCCTGGAAAACATTTTGAAATGGTTTGCTTTACAAGTACCCAGTAAGTAGGGAATTAGGCTCCAGATCATAAGTACCAGATTTGGATGGTCACCAATCTTTTAGCCAGTTCAGAAATGATTGGCAAAATGTACATTAGAATGAGATTCTGGATTATGGTGCTGTTTTCAATATTCCAGGACTCACTGAAGCAGAAGATCAGCAGTCATATACTAATTTGCCAGTAATTAACTTATTTTCAGATGAACTAATTTAGATTGCTTCAATAAAAAACTGACAAATACATAATTTACTTTTTTAATATCAAATTGGAAGTAATATACATAATGTGCTACAAAACATTTTGAAACCTCTCATGTGTCAGGAAAAAATTTTTAAAGTAAAAATTATAAAATGTTGTAGTGTTTTTAAAGGTGCATATTTTAAGATACAAATATTTTTGGTACACATTTTAAGACACCCAAGAAGACGGCTGGAAGCCAGAATTATGCTTAGTGAGAAGTCATGACAAGGTAGATGGAAACCAGCACAGGCTGCCCTGAATAGCCTGATTCCTTTGGGCACTCTGAGTGGGAGTCTTCCAGGGGGCCTGAACCCTGCCTGACCTCAAAGGGCTTTCAATATGCCAGCTTTCTGAACGTGGATACAACAGGGGAGAGTGAAACCAGTCCAAACTTTAGGTAAATGGGATGGCTGAAGCCAGTGGGATCTTAGTGCTGTTCTGTTAGAACAGCAGTGAGGGGCAGGACCAAACCCTACAGGTCACTGGTCAGAGACCCACCATGAGGCAGTGTTCACTTTGGAACACTTGGAGCCACAGACAGCAACATGCCTAGCTCAAGGACTGAGTGAGTGCTGGAGGATGGGGGGGGGGGACGGTGAGGGGAGAGGCAGAGAGTCCCAAGACTAGTATAATCTCAAATATCTGAGTAGAGCCTGTCAAACACAGCATGGAATAGAATCAACTCCCAAATGGAAGTTCAGTAAATTAAAGGGGACAGAGAAGGGTAGAAGGCAACACAATCACACAACAATACCAAGAAAAGAGATCCTACAAATCATTACAGCAGAGGTTGGTGCTGGATCTCAGCCACTCCATCTTGGACTACCACAATAACAGCAGCATCCAGAGGACCAAACAGGGTCTTATTACCCTATAAAAAAGTATGGAAGGAGGCAAAACCAGACTCTAGCTCAAGTCCTAATCCAGAAACTAAGGTGGAGATAGAAGTAAACAAGAAAAAACCAAACACAAAGAGGAAATACTACAGTTCAATAGAAACCTAAGAGGGTAATCCAGAAGAGAATAATTCTACAATAAGTAAAAACAGAACTTCCAAAAAAACTGCTTGTCCTCTCCAAGAACAGGTGGGAGAAATGAGGAGAGAAAAAAATGAAATTAGAGCACTTGAGAGGAAAAAAATTGAAGAATAAACGGCTCAGAATGAAAGTTGAAAAACCTTACCCAAGTAGTGAACTCCCTGAAAAAGAGAATGAAACAAAAAAACTTAATTAACTCCAAGAGAATGAATGAATGAATAAAGTAATATGTCATAAGTGCTGACGATATGCAAACCACTGACCTAAATGGTAGGTATTCCAGATGAAGTAAGATCGTCTCTGCTCTCACATTTGAACAGGGGAGACAACACCAACAGGAGGTTTCAGCTGTAGGGCAAACAGAAAAGCTCAGTGGCCAAGAAGATGGTAATGTTTCTTTAATATGACTTCCATTAATAAAACTCTAGCAGTTAATCATGTTGAAGCCAGCCTTGGACATTTACTAGTTATATGACCCCAGGCAAGTCACAGATGTCAGCCTCAGTCTCCCCAACTGAAAAATGGGAATAATAATAACACTTAATTTACAGGTTTGTTGTAAAGATCAAACGAGATGATATTTGTAAAGTACTTTGCAAATCTTAAATACAATATAAATATTAGTTATTATGATTACCAAAACCATCTTAACTAAAAACAGGTTGAGGTGAAATAAATTAAGAATAGGACCCCTTAAACATGGGGAAGAAAATGGATAACATATTTCACAAAGAAACTGCCCAGATCAATTGGAACCAGATAACAAAGTGAAAATAGAAAGAATCACTAATAAATTTATAAAAGAAATCTCAAATTGAAAACATCAGTTACATTCATTGCCAGGTGTGTGCTGGAGCCAGCTCAAACCAGCTTATGAGAGCCAATTATTAAATTTTCAGTATGAGCATTTACAGTTTGAAAACTGGCAAAGTCAGGGCTTTAATGACTGTTTTGTTGATAGGGTTCTGAAAAGCAGTGGATCTCAAGATGAAGCCCAAATGACTTAGCGGGAAAATCTAAGCCTAACCAACAAAAGATGCATGTACAATAATAAAAAAATATTTCCTAATATTCTTAGAAAGATAATCAGACCTGACGAGATTATTGGCTTCCTAAACATCTCAGAAACCAGAAAATATAAGGATTAAAAAAAAAATACAGCAACCAAGGACAACAACGAAGTAAGGAGAGATCATTAAAAAAAGAAAAAAGAGTGAAAGCATAAGTCCAGAAAAAGTAACAGTGGAAAAACACACTTGATATATCATGGACTAATCCTTACATCACTCAGCTTACAAGTTAATAAAAGGATTTTGTGGGACTAAATTACAAAATAGAAGAGCACAAAACATGGGGAGGGAAGGAGGAAGATAGAGGTGAATAAGTGGCGTTTCTTATTCAAGTAAAAGACTAACAGTGAAGGAAAAATAACTCCTGGAGTCTCTCAAGAAGAATGGATGAGAAAGCAAAGAGGGAAATCCAAAAAGGAAGAAAAAAGGGTAAACCTAGTTTCAAAAGTGGGAGAGGGTACCATTGATAATGCTCCCACTGGTAAAGACATTCAATAAAGCGAGTTTGGGGACTTAAAATAAGTATTATATGTTGAAATTTAGTGCTTGAGAGATCACTCATCCTGCCTCAGGAGAAGGGGAATCAAGTGCTCCTCAGGGCAACTGGCATCCAGAAGAATGAGAGGACATGAACCTAGGGAAGAGATTTTGAGGCAAATGGGGGGGGGGAAGGGAAAAGGCCAATTATTAACTACATGATCAGGGACATGGGAAGATTCCTATCATGGGACAATATCGTGTCTGTTACCTGCAGGAATTGGTATTTCTAAAACTGAGGCAAAACAGAAAAAGTCAGATGGGGGCAAGATCTACAAGGCAATAACAAAAACTGCTTAAATGAGTGAACTCAAAAAAGATACCTTAAAAATTTTAATTCTGTAATAATAAAGACAAAAAAGGACTAACTAAGTATAAGGGTATGAATCAAAGAATAAAAGTCTAGAATAGACAGAAAGGGAAGATAAATAATGAAGAAAATGTGGGAAAGGAACTTTTTCTAGATAAAGGCAAAGGAAATTAAATATTAAAAAAAACCTAAAAAACCAAAATAAATTCAAAGAAAAGAAAAGGGGATTCTATTTGATGATTAAATGAGAGTTAAATAAAAGGGAAGAGCTAATTAACTAGATAAAAGCAAGCAAAATAAAGAAATAAGAAAAATTCCAAAAAGGGATAGAGGGTGGGTTGGGAGGATGAGATGAGAGTAGAGAACTGGTGGTAATAAGATCATCTTTGAAAAAAATTCAGCTAAAAAAGCCAGTTTTGTATTTACAGCAAAAGAGAAAAAAATCATAACTTGGAAAAAAAAACCCTAATGTTAGAAACAGAGGAAAATATATACCTAACTTTCATAACTTTAATCATGAATTAACAATTGTTAGTAAATCTAAAAAAACAAAGTTACACACACACACACACACACACACACACACACACACATATCCCTAATACTTCAACCAGTTAAGAAAAACATAGACTGATATTAATGAATATAAATTTTTAAAATTTTAAACAAAATCCTGTCAGGCTATAGCAATTTATTCAAGAAAGGATTCATTATGATCAAGTTGGACTCATACCAGGTATGGAAGGATGGCTCGATAATTAGGAAAGCAATCAATATAACTAATCATATAAAAACAGAAACATCCAAATCCACATGATTATCTCAATAGAGACAGAAAAAGGCTTTTGCAAAGTATAGCACTCATTCATGCTAAAAACAAACAAAAAAGACCAACTTAAAAAGTACAGGCATAGAGGGAACTTTTTTAATACCACAAAAATTATCTATCTCAAAATCAAAAGAAAGTATCATATGCAATGGAGATATACTAGAACCATTTCCAATCAATACAAGAGTAAAGCAAAGATGTTCATTCTCCCCACTATTATTCGATATCATTCTGCAAATGCTAACAACAGTAATAACACAAAAGAAAGAAACGGAAATTATAAACATAGGTTAAAAGGAGAAAAAAAATTAACTATCTGCTAATAACATGATGATGTGTTTGGAAAATCCTAGGAAAATAGTGAGGCAATAGCTTTAGCAAAGTTGCAGGCTACAATATATACCCTCAAAAATCAACTGCATTTCTATATAATGATAAAGAAGTCTAAGGAGCAATAACAGAAAGGGAAATCACATTCCAAATAACTACAAAATGTACAACATATATAGGGATAAAAAAGATAGACAGATAACCAACAGCCATTCAGCAACAGATTAATAGGTAGATACAAACAAACAGTTCTCAAAAGAACTGAAAACTATTAAAAGCTATATGAAATGCTCCAAATTACTAATAGGAGAAATACAAACCAAAATAATTCTAAGGTTTCACCTCACACTCATCAAATCGGCAAAGATAACAAAAGATGGAAAGTCAATGTTGAAGAGGTTGTGGAAAGATATGCACACTGGTGCATTGTTGGTGGAGCTATGAATCAATACAATCATTTTGAAAAGCAATTTGGATTTATGCACATAAAGTGACTAAAACCTGGAGATTCTACTACTAAATTTATATCCCAAGGAAGTCATTGATAAGAAGAAAGTCTCCATAAACTCCAAAATATTTGTTGCAAAACTTTTTGTAGTATCAAAGAAATGGAAACAAAGTAGGTACCCACTGATTGGGGAATGGCTAAACAAACTGCAGTATAAGGGAGCAAATGTACTATTGCCATGTTGTAAGAAATGCGAAATATGATGAATACAGAAGTGTAGAATGACTTCCATGAATTGATGCAGAAAGAAGTAAGCAGAACCAAAAGAACAATATAAACAATGACTAAATAATATAAATGGAAAGAACCACAAAACAATCAAAACTGAATACTGCAGAATTGCAAAGAATAAGCATGGTCCCGAAGAAGAGATCTGAAAAAACATATCCTTCAATTCCTTTGCAGAGGTGAGATGTCTAGGAGTGAAGATCATTGCATATTATTTTCAGACTTTTTGGTAGACTAATTGGTTTTATTTTCTCTTCTTTTTCTTAAAAAAAAATCCATTATATGGATGGCTTTCTGGGAAGAAAGGGATGCTGAGATAAATTTAAGTGATATAAAAACAACTCTGCAAAAAGTGTATCTTTTTGAAGTGGCCCAGCAATCATATCTGTCAGTCCTTGTAGAACCTGACTACATTAGTTTCTCAGGCCAGATGACTTGAGTTCATTAAGGACAGCTAGGTGCTTTTTATTTTTTTAAATTATTTTCTTGGTTGTCTTGGCTATCACTTCCTTGTGGTCATTCTTGTTTGGTCATTTTTTTGAATAAAGGTCATTCTCCTTTGCAAAGAAAACAGAAATGAATAAAAAACTGAATAGCAGTTCCTTCTCCATGGTCAGTCATCTTCCTCCTTTGACCTTCTCCCAAATACTTTCCATGATATTTCTCAATGACAGTTCCTGAATTTCTTCACACAAGAACACCTCCTTAATGTACAATGCCGTCCCATCCCACAAATGCCTTTACCTATCCAGTTTCTTTTGAATAAAGTACATACAGATAGAGAGTCATGGGTTTCACCCCATGTGATATCTATAAGGTCAAATGTGCCTCCTTGAATTAGGACTGCTAGTTCATCTTTCCTGTTGCCTAATCTTTGAGTATTTTATTGACATGTGGAACCATGTGCTTACTACTGGTTGTTTTCTTGAATTTATCTGTGAATTTCTAAGAGTCTAAGCTGCTCATCTTCCTTCTTTGTGACTACTCTCTTTAGTATTTAACAAAGGAATTACACATAGGTTATCTTCTCTCTCTCCCCCCCCCATCGTTTCTGGCTTAAAGCCCTTTTGAACACATTCCCAAGACACATGGCAAATATATTCTTTAAGAGCTTCTTTAACAGTTCAACTCAATTCAACAAACTATAAAGGTATTTATCCTTTACCTTGTAGTAAACACCATGATTGAATCCCTAGGGACATTCCATCATTACTAAATAGCTTAGGTACATAAGTGGTTTGTGCCCTTTTTTTTTTTCCAAACTTGGTTTTTAAAAAATCGTTTTCACAAGATGGGGGAAAATACGGCCAAGGAATAATTTTTGTTAACTTAAAAAATATGAGTCTTGAAAAAACAATAATTCTCAAAAAGTATGATATCCAAAATATTTGGTGAATTAAGTTAAACACACACACACAGACACACACACACACACACACACACACACACACACGTATGTATATATGATCCCAATACTGAAGTGGTCAAAGGACATGAATAGTTTTCAAAAGAACTGCAAAGTATAAATGAGCATTT